AAATGATCCGTAGTACAACTACATGTTACGTACTATTATGTAACTATTACTGCAGTGTAGGGGACATGTGTGCTGTATATGTACTATGGATTATGATTTAACCTATTCATGTTAGCAGGGCAGAATTGAGAGCGCCTCCCACAAGCTGAGCACCAAGACGCGATGCAGCGATCCGAGACTACAAGAGACACCTCGTGAGGAACAGGGATCGGAGTGAAACTGAGTGAGGGAAGCTGGGAGAGGGCTAGCTGTAAATCTATTGCTATAGTGTACTGTACTGCTATAGTGTATTACAATGTCTCTCCATGGTGACGATGGCACTGGTAGGGGCTGCAGCAGAGCGCACACACTGAGCAGGACTCCACGAAGGAATGCACGTCCGCCGTCACGGAGGACCACCAGAATCTACACAGGACGCACTCCAAGGTGTTGCGTTGGCCCCTATGGCCGGCTGTGGGGTGATCGTGGTGGTGCTGTAAGATAGAAATCCGCTGAGGGGCAGGAACGTAGACGCGCTGCTGATAGCGCAGCCCCTGTTTCAGCTTCACTTGAAGCAGGCGTGCTGGCCCTTTTAATCTCCTCTAGGAGGGAGTGCTGGGTGGCCAGAAAATAGGCTGCCGGTAGGATGGGTTCTGGATAACGCATCGGCCTTGCCGTTCTTGGCTCTGGGCCTGTAGGTGATCTGCAGATGGAAGCGTGAGAAAAAAAAAAGGAGGGCCCACCTGGCTTGTCGGGGCCGCAGTCGCTTGGCACTGCGGAGGTACTCAAAGGTTTCGGTGATCCGTGTAAACCACCACAGGGTTTTCTGCCCCCTCCAATAGATGCCTCCATTCTTCCAGAGCATTTTTGATGGCGAGCAGCTCCCTCTCGCCCACGTAGTAATTGCGCCCCGGTGAGCTTGCGGGAGTAGAAGGCAATGGGGTGCAGGAGCTGCTTCTCCCTTTGGCAATGGGAGAGAAAGGCTCCGACCGTCCCCTAGGAGGAGTCAGTCTCTAGATAAAATGGGTGAGCGGTATCAGGCTGCGCTAGCACAGGTGCCTGCGTAAATAATTGCTTGAGGCGCTGGAACGCCTTGTGGGCCTCCGGAGTCCAGTCAAATGGCACACTGCTTTGGGTCTGTGCAGTGATGGGGGCACAGATGGGGTCCATCTCCACCTGTCCCAGGGATAGGATATAGCCCAAGAATTCGACGGTAGGTACCTTAAAAATGCTCTTCTCCAACTTGCCATACAATCTATGGGTTCGAAGACGGTGGAGAACTGTGGAGTACTGCGACCACCGCGCGGTTTGCGCATGCTCACCTGCAACCTGGGCGCCAGGAATTCGGGCAGATTGGAGGGGAACCCGTGCCCTGCTCCGTGCCCGTTGACCCCAAGGAGTGGTACTACCCCCTGCATCTTGACAAGATGACACAACCATGTAATTAAGTTATAATGCAACTGTATGGGTAAATGCTTGTAGCTCTGCCTTATTGCCAAAAGGAGTTTTACTAAAAGGACAAATTAATATTTAGTTTGTCTTATGATATTGTGTTGGAATAATAAAAATTAGCATTTTTGTTCAGACTTCTGTCCCTTGCTGATCCCCTAGGAAAAATGTAAAATACAACAATCTCGTTAGTTTTTCAGATTCATGGCTTGCAAAAGCCTGGAGTGTGGAGGTCTACTAGGAATAGAATTCAGTTTGCCTAAGAGGGCAGGTTTCATAGACGTTTTTGTGAAATTGCATCATGGTCATCTCAAAAAGTCTTCTCAATTTTGGCTTTAAGAAAACAAGCAGACAAGATGCGGCCAATGTGTCTCAAAGTCATAGCCCCTGCCACAGAAGCCCAAATCCTGCTGCTGTATCAAGAGACAAAAAGTATGATACAGAGAAGGGAAACAGCATTTCAACCTCACTAGAAAGATTCCTGGCCTTGGCTTGTTTTGAAGGAGAGATAGGGGGAAGAAAAGATGTATTGTTACATTTGCTTAAAATACCCTACCATAGCACTCTGGATCTGGTAGAAATGCCTTTGTAAGTGGCTGTTATACATTTCGCACTGAACCAATTAAAGCTCATGAAACAAGCAAAGCTGCTTGTGGTAGAAACAAGAAAATAAAAAAGCGATTGCGCAGTCAGAGGCATCAGCAAGTACAGCAACTACCAGTGCCAGTTCTGCAGTTCAGGCAGCACAGCCCATTACTTTTAAAGCACTACAAAAACTGAAAGGAGGTAGAAAAAGAAGAGACTAACCATTTCATTTAACAATGCATACCTAATTGCAAAACAAGGGAATCCTCTTTCAGACATGGATATGTTGTGTCGAGCAATGATAAAGGCGGGTGTGGACTTGGGGAAAAAAGCTACACTAAATCGTGAAAAAGCTGCCGAATTCATAAAATGTGAAGCGTAAATAATAATTCGACAGGACATCAAAGAGACTGGTCAGAAATTCAAGGTTTATCTGTACTATTGCAGATGGAAGCACAGATAAGTGCCATAATTTAACAGGAAACTGTGCTGGTCAGGTTTGTTAATGAAGGGAAACCTTATACAGCATTTGTAGACATTGTCCCAGTTGAGCATGCAGGAGTGCTAGATGCAATTGTTAAAAGGTCTTAAACACCTGTCTTTGGATATGCAACATCTGAGCCTTCTGAGGTCTCCAGAACAGCCTGGTCCAACACTTCTCTGAAAATGTTGATGCTGCTGTAATAGTAGTTTCAAACAGGTGGTGTAGCAGCACTGATAAAGAACATCATTTCATATCTGCTGCCTATACACGGTGTAGCACACAAGCTTCAACTGGGAATTCTAGATGCAGTAAAGAACACTCCTTACATTGTTTGTTTCGAAGAAACTTTGAAATAGGTTTTTACAATTCTACTGGAATAGCCCTAAAAGGCAAAGAGGCAAAAGAAATTACAAAAGTAATAGAACAAAGTTTTGCTCACTTCACTTCAAGTGAGATGGGTCTCAAGATAAAAAAAAAATGGCCCTAAAAGCAGTGCAGAAAAACTTGCAAACTGTTGTTTTACATCTTGACCAAGTTGGTGCTGGGACTTAGTCTTCAGCTAAAGCAAGGAAATATCTAAAATCCATCACAAGTGTGAATTTTCTCACCACCCTGTACATTGAGGGATATTCTTGAGCCTGTATCTCAGCTGTCAGAATTGTTTCAAATTACCTTCTGTTAGTAGATGTAAAGCCTGCTTTTGAGAAATGTGCAATAAGACTGGCTGGCTTGAAGTTTGATCCCGGTGAAAACATGAAGCAGTTTAATAGACTACCACCCAGGAGAGAAAATTTGGAGATCAATCTACCGAGGTGTGGGAGATTCCATTGTCAGACAGTGCCCACCAGCTGCTAGCACATGTAATGCACAGCTCATTGAAAACATTATAGATTACATTGATGAAAGTTTCTTCATTTTTGATTGTATGCCATCCCCTGGATTCCAAGTTTTTGACTATACAATATGGCCAGAAGGCAGAGGAGGACCAATATACATACGGCAGAGCTGACCTTAAAGAATTGTTGGATTATTACAGCATTCTTTTCCTCGCTGAAGAAAACTCCGCTATACTCGAGGAGCTTTGTGGACTTAAGGCACACATGAAAAATTTCAAAAGATAACATAAAAAAAGTTTTGTTATCATTTTCTTCTATGTTGTCATCAAAACAATCTACACTGTAAAATATTGAAGGCTGTGGAAATGATGTTCACAGTTAGTGTTTCAACAGCTGAGGCACAAAGGGTGTTTTCTGCCATGAATGTAGTGAAAAACCCACTTAGAAAAAGACTTTAGCAGGATATGCTGCAGGACTTCATGCTCATTAAAATGGAGGGACCTGAATAGGAGGAATTTGACCACAGCAGAGCTATTCAGTATTGGCTTACATGTGGCGGAACCAAGCATGTGGGTGGACAAAAGAGGCCTCATGAGGTTGACTCTGCTTAAAGTGTACTTGTCATGACAGTGCCTTTCTGTTATTTAATTTGCCTTTACATGTTTTATGTTCAGTTTAAGCTCATCTAGCATAACCAATCATGTCCATGATATAAATGGCTTCATGGGGGTGCCTCTGTTAACTTAAGTTTTTTGATAAATTAAGCTACAGTTCTCATTTGGAAATCTGTTCTGAATAAGCCCACTATCTACTTTTGTGTTTGTTGATGGAATTACAGTACTTTTTGGGCCTGTCTTCTAAGTTGCTATCAATAAAGACCTTATTTAAATATGTTTTTGATTTAAAAAAATGTTTTGCATCAGGACAAGTAGATAGTCATGAGGGACAAGTAGATAGTCCTTGGACAAGTAGTTTTTTTTTAAATTTCCACACCCCTGCATACACACAACATACATGTGGAACAGTGTGCACCATATGGTGTATGCCATGCGTTGCGGTACGTTGTTAGAACACATTAAAGTGCTTAATTCTTTCAACACACAGTGCATGGAAAAGCATTGCGACATATTGCTGTGTATTGGGATACGCTGTGTTGCAATTAAATGTATGGCTGGATTATACCTGTTTAAAAAAAAAAAAAAATGTATGGCTGCATAATTTTTAAAATCGCAATACACACCAACACAGAGCACAGACAGCACTGCAGATCAGGAATTAGCACAGGTTGCTTATTTACAGTTTTGCTGTTTTTATCAATTTGTGTATTTTAAATATTGTTTTGATAAACATTTTCACAATTATCACAGGACCTAATAAATTAGTAGCACCATCTTTTTAATCTACCGGTCCTGTGCTTTCAGGAAATGTATGATTTGGGGGGTCTTTTTCAAACTCTAAAATCAACCGTTGGCCAGCTGAGGTCAAAAGTGGAATGCAGGACTTGGCAGGGAGAGTGTTAATACTGAACAACATTAGCCTTCATCATTGCAAGAAGTTGGAGTTTAACAACATTTCATACAACAGCTTTTAAATGTAGAGCATGCATTTGGAAAGTTATGCAACCGAAAAGAAAGAATATCGAATACAGAAAAACAGTAAAAAGGTACCGTAATGCTGTAAGCTCCACTTTTTCATGTGCATTCTTAGCCAGATCTGGAATGAGTGAGAGATGAGAGATCTGTGAAGCAGCCCAGCCGAACTGGAAAATGATTATGAATGGGATAAAGTATATCAGGCCAACCCACTGTGGTGTATTTTCTGTGCAACCAATGCATGGGTTGAAGATAAATGGAAACGAAAGAATCACACTCAAAGTTCCTGCACAAAAAAAAAAAAAAAAAATTATTTTCAAAGTATTTTATTAAATTTTTTAAAACAATAAGATAGCACATGATGCACAAACAGTATAGCATACAACTGCGTCTCAGAGTCTTCCACATTAGCATAGTCAGGTAGTAAGAGGGGATCATTTGAAACCATACACACAATGCATAATAATTCTGTGAAACAGAACATATCTATCCACCTACTCTTGCCAAATTATCCCCCCCATCAACAAAAACAAAATCAATACAGTCTGAGAGGAATATCAGGCATAGGGATCCACCTGTGTCTGAAGCAAACATTTGGTATGGCCTCCTCCATATCTATATACATAGAAGACTTTCCGTCCAACATCAATGTACTAAACAGCTCACATGTGTGAGCCTAAAGAAGGAAGAAACAGACAAAAAGAAAAGGAAAAAAAGATACTAAAAGAAGCAGAGTCCAAAAAGAGTAGATCCATCCCCACCCAAATAGCCCGATATCTACTTAAACATTAAACCTAGAGCCCAGGAAAAAAAAATAAAAAATTGTACAATGGAAGTTACCTGGTTTCCAGCACCCCTGTATATAACATCCAGGGGGTCCAGGTCAATTCAAAGCATTTTTCAGCATCTTGGAGGATGCTGTGAAGTTTCTCATGGACCATAATCCATGAAATTTTTTGTCTGACCAAGTGGAATGGAATTGTTGGCAATTTCCAAGTCCTAGCTATGGTTATTGTGGCTGCCAACAAAAAGAAAGTAATACATTTATCCAAAGCTTTAGAATGTCCTGGAATCGGGCGATTCAGCAACACATATTGGGGCTCTCGCGGGATCCTCACCCCAATAACCCTAAATATTAGAGCATAAAGTCGGTTCCAAAAGGGTCTCAATCTAGGGCATTCCCACCATATGCGATGCATCGTGGCCGGGTGAGCACATCCCCGGAAACAATGGACTTGATGGACATATGTCTTTATTCAATCCCAAATACTATGTAATGAGGAGAAACCTCTGGGTATTCTCGCTAGTCTGGCAGGAACCATATACCACCTAGATAACACCTTATAATTAGCTTCTATTAGTGAAATATTGAGTAAGCCAGATGACACCCGGGAACAACATTGATGCCAGACATCCAATGGAATAACCGTTTCCAGGTCCTGTTCCAAGCTAACATATAGGGTAATTTACTTTCAGAGTCTACCAAGGAGGGAATAGAGCAGCGAGACGCCCCCCCTCTGGCCCCCAGATCCAAGACACCAATATTTGTAGGTTATTTTAAAGGGAGACATCACGTTAGGTGTTTTCAAAGAACCTAAAAAGTTAACAATTGTCTATAGTGAAAGTATTCAGAAGATGACATGTGCAAAACCTCCCGACAGTAGGTCAAAGTAAGTGGTTTACGACCTTCAAAGAATTGTGCTATGCGGTACAGGCCTTTGTCTTGCCACCAATGGAATGCTCCGGGAGATACCCCGGGGGGGAAATTAGGATTATGGAAGACGGGAGCCAGAGGAGTATGAGGCGACACCAACCAACCTTCCCTTCGGAATGAGTCACATACCATCATAGAACAAGACAAGGTTGGGGCCAGAATGACCGGCCTCTGCCTCAGGGACATCCACTTCAAGGCATCAATTGGTGTACCCGAGGCAGAGAGAGATTCCATTAGGATCCAATCTGGTGTATATCCCTGGTAATACACAGAGAGCTGAGCCACCCGCGCTGCCTTATAGTATTGCAAGAGATTGGGAACACCCAGACCCCCAGTCCGTTAGGAACGATGCAGTACAGTTTGAGTCTAGGATGTTTTCCATGCCAAACAAATTTAATAATTAAGGATTGGAATTTAAAAAGGTCTGGCTTATGTATAGCTATTGGTAGAGCCCGAAAGTAATATAGGATCTTGGGGAGCAACGTCATTTTGAGTGCATGAATGTGGCCCAGCTATGAAATATTACAGGAGTCCCATCGAGGCATATCCTCCCAGAGTTGGTGAAACAGAGGTATATAATTTTTTCTTATATAGTTGTAAAAAAAGACAGGTTTAATCCCTATATATTGCAAAGCCTCCGTGGACCAGGTAAAATCAAAATGTTCGACAACCGAGACCACACTTCCTGCGGCATATTAATATTAAGAGCCAATGATTTGGATGCATTAACCTGCAATCCAGATACCCCAGCAAATTGAGTCAACAATGGCAGGACATTAGGAAGTGTGGTCAAGGGTGAAGTGACAAACAAGAGCAAGTCATCCGCAAATAAAAGCACACTTATGCTCCTGCCTACCACAGCCCACTCCCTTAATATTAACATTAGCATGGATCGCAATCGCTAGGGGCTCTATCGCTAATGCAAAAAGCAGTGGGGAAAGTGGACAACCTTGACGTGTGCCTTTGGAGATAGCAATGGAATCAGACATGTGGCCCTGTAGCCTAATTTGTGCTGACGGGGTGGTGTATAAGGCCCGCATCGTGCTAAGAAAGAGGGGGCCAAAACCCCATCTCTCAAGCACCTGGAAAAGGTATTGCCAAGACACTGAATCAAAGGCCTTTTTTAAGTCAATGGATAACAGAAGCCCAGATTGTGATTGCCCAACCATCCCACCGTGACTGCAACAAAGTGATAATATCAATGGCCCTTCTAATTTGATCGGGGCCTTGCCTACCCCTAATGAAGCCCACTTGATCCTTATGAATATAGGAGGATAGGAAGCAGCTCAATCGATTAGCAAGAATTTTAGTTAGGAGTTTTAAATCATTGTTTATTAAGGAGATCGGTCTATAGTTGGAGATTTCCCCCATGTCCTTGTTGGGTTTAGGAAGAACTGTAAGATATGCCCTATTTAAATCTGTGTATAAGGGACTCCTCCGTCTCACCTCATTAAAGAATCTCTCCAAGTGAGGCACCAAGACATCCGAAAACCTGGAGCAGATGACAATTTTGCCTGCTTGATAGCCTGTTTAATTTCCAGTGCCGAGATGGGTGCTTCCATAATCATGGAATGGTGAAGTGACAAGGATGGAAGGTGAACCTCACTGAGAAATTATCTCAATGAATCGGATGAAACGAGATTACTATCCTGATAGAGTTTAGTGAAAAACAAGTGAAACTCCTGAAGAACAGTTGTTGGGTGTAGTGAGTATGCGCCAGAGGTACATCGAATTTTAGGGAACGTATAAACTCTAGGTTTAGAGATAGTTTAGTAGCTAAAAGGGTACCAATTTTGTCTTTATGGACATATTTGTTATCAGACCATCGAAGACTTTTCCGCTTTAGTAATAAGTTCAATTCTAATCTAGGTTTTATCCAGGGATTTCAAGAGATCTAATGACGGAGTCTGCTTATGAGCCCGAGATAAACGTTGAAGTTCCGTGTCCAGTTTATTTATACGTCTGGTTACACTCCTCTTTATTCTGGTAGCCAATTCAATGAATCGGCCTCGAATTGTCGCCTTATGGGCTGCCCATACAATAGTAGGGGACATATCAGGAGTGGCATTAATAGAAAAATAGGATTCCAAGTGTGATTGGACCTCACCCTGTACTACCGCATCCCCCAATAGAGATTTGTTCAAGTGCCAGCAAAAAGGTTTAGCAGCTACAATAAATACAATTATTTGAAAGCAAAAGGATTTTTTTTCCCCAGAAACATTTTTAGTCTTCAGTATATCATGCGTTTTCTATATATCATGGCCTATAAATAGTCAATAATATGCATTCTTTACTAGAAAGCCAAAATAACTTCTGTTCCTATTGTTATATTAAAAGAATATGGGAAGTATTATTTGTTTTTGTTTGCCCCTTAGTTGCATGTTGAAAAGGAGATTAATATTACTACTAATTTTTTTTATTAGATAAGCATTAGAATAATTGGTTAAAAAGACAAACTGTTTAGCTTAACTAAAAAAAAAAAACCTCTAAAATGGCTGCTTAAGATAAGCTAATGCATGCATTTGCAGTATTGCCCACTCAATACTGCCCCCTTCATCCCAGCAAATGCACAGTAGCAGTTGCCGTGATGGAATAAATATGCAGCAGCATAGCATGCATACAGGGCAGCGCACAATCTACAAATTTGCTACCACAGTTGTAGTTAATCCTGCCACCATATTGCAGCCATCAATATGGTACCACTATCCTGCAAATGCACAGTAGTGGCTGTACAGACCTGTCAATACCGCACACACATGGGATCTCACCCCCATATTTTTGACATTGCAATATGGAGGCAAAATCTTGCATGTGTGGTAGTGACTGCTCTGCAGTTCCACACATGCAAGGCATCACACCACTACATTGTACTGTTAGAAATATGCTGGGAAGATCCTGCATGTTTGGTAGTGGCATAAAGTTACACATTACATTTTTCCACTCCTGCATAATTTTGCAGTAATCCCCAGTCCTCCCCTAACCACGGCACCTTACAACCTTATCCCTAAACCCTCCCATGACCACCATGCCTAGCCCTCCATCCCCACACTTATACTTGACACCACTGCACAGATGTGCAATCATTCACACGCCACTACTACACACAATCAGTATCCGTCACTTCACCAGTGCTCACTAAGCCACTGGAACAAACACACACACACACCTACTACACAAAACACACATCTCAGTATACAGGCTGTTCAATTAATAAATCTGTAACACTTTAAAATGTTGCAGTCCTACATGCGCTTTACCTTGCCCCTGACCAATTAGTTCAACCCTCTGGTCCCAGAAAAAAAGAAAAAGGCAGTGCATGCATGACCCCAACCCCCAGTCTATAATCAGGTCTCGCCGCCTTCTTTTCCACCCTCTGGTCTTTGTACGACTTTGTAGGGTAACCCCATGTTTTTTGGGGACATCGCAGGTCCCCCCCAACATTCCTACCAGAACTAAAAGGGCCTGGTATTAATTGGGGAGGGGAACACATGCAGTTTATTTTTTAAACATTACAATGCTTCGGCCGACTTATCCCCACTCTGGCTGTTTGTTCGGCTTTGCCAAGCCAAAGC